TTATATGGTACTGATCTCTTATTACGTAACAGTAGCAACCATTCGGATTCATTTACTCTTTCGTCGATCCTGTTCCTTCTACTTGATCCCATTAAATTAATATAAATCGATATCATAAAAAAAAACTTAGACATCGTGTCTAACACTTTATACAGGACATACTGTAATTTGTATTTCAAGTAATATACATAGACGCAACTCAACACACTACGATACAACATAACACAACATAAGACAACAAAACACAACGTACAACGACATAGCAGAACTTGATACAATAAATCTCGACAAAACACCACGTACCTCGATATAACACATCGGAACACAACGTAATGCGACATAACATCATATAAAAGAACATCCCATAATACAAGATAACATAAAACAACGAAACACAACACATACGACACAGGATAACATACAATACAATACAAGATAACATAAAACAACAAAACACGACATCAGACAACGTAACATAACACAACACAGTATAACGCAACGTATTACAAATTAAAACAACATTGTACAACATAAAACAACAATGTAGAGCATTCATTCTCGCGTATAGTACATATTATTCCAAGATCGAAAAAGACGAAGCAAGTCAGGAAATCATTGTTTTGTATATTCTGAATTTCTCACGATGGGACAGAGTAATAAGTTAAGGTTTACTGTAATCTTCAGAGGAAAGAAAGGAAGGACTTTAACGGAAATGGTGTAAACTGTGGTGCGCGGACGGTTGGGTTCTCCAATATGGCAACGCGCCCGTTCTCACAGCGTTCAAAACACGCGAGTTTATCGGCCGCACAATCACGATCATCGCTCAACCCCTTCCTCCCCCATCTACCTGTGGAATTTGGCCTCCTACGACTTCTTCCTCTTCTCCAAGATAAATTTCAAGCCTGAAAAGTTATCGTTTTGACATCGCAGAGAACACCCTGTATAAATTGCCAAGGAAGGATAATGGGAAGAATCCCAATATTCTGGGCCCTGGAATCTTAAGCGAGACCCTCTCTATCGATCTCAAGAACCACATGGTGCTTACTGGATGCAGAACCGAGTTTTTACCTTGAAAATTAGCAAACTTTGAAGCGTTATAGCTTGAAAACTAACAAAAATCGGGTAAATACATTAAAGCTTAACGAATTCGTCTTGAAAAGTACTATCGCATGGTATGGAAAAAAATATATAGTTCAATTTGAAAAACGAAACTTGACCATCATATCTCGTTAAATAACAAAGTTAACAAAAATTCCTTCTCGCTGAAACGTAAGCCTCATTTTACCATGCAATTTCCATATTTCAAATTGTCCATTCGGTCGATAGTTTTGGAGTTAGAGCTCCGTAACACTTAAGCTAGAACACCCTGTATAAGAAATATTTTTAAAATTAACGAATTTAATTATGTTAACATTCGTCGAACTTAACGTTTTATAAATGTTTCTAAAACTTGACATTTTATAAATGTTTTGAATCGAATTGAATTCATAAAAATTCTGTTTTATTTCTACAATTGTTAAAAAGAAGTTTTACGTGTGTCGCGTACGATGGTCGCACACTAATTTCTTTTTTATATACAAGAATTGGATTATCTGTCAGCGTCTAATAATCATGACGGAAATAATATCAACGATTACGATTACAATTAGAATTCGAAAAATGAACTTGTTACAAAATAATTTGAAGAATGGAATTGAAAAATAATCGTTATCTGGGTTTTATAATTTTTCAAGCAATTATACTAATTAAGAAAAAAAGAAAAACGAATATAAATGTACATTGTAATAATTTAATGAAACGTTGATATTTACGTCAGAGAATGCATTCGGTATCGTTTTCTTGATACTGTAATATGTTTATTATAACTAATATTACTATTATATTAACTAAAAACCTAAAAAACAACCAATGTATCTTACACATATCAGAAGAGTACATATAAAATAGTTTTTATCGATAACCGTATGAGAAATAAAATCAAGTACAGTTGCAAAATGTATTATTACAATTTTCTAAAATAAATTTTCTAAAATAAGTTGGATCCATATTCTATTTAAAAAATAAATAAATAAATAAATAAAGTAAAAAATTAAAGTAAAGTAAAGGAAATAAGTAAAAGAAATAATTTTGCAAAGTTACACGATTTCATTTACGATGAGACACAGTCGTCAACCATCGATCTGCATACAACGTGTATCCAAAAATAAAAACCTCCGCGATCTCCTAAACTCCGTTCTCCGGTTCTACGGTTGGAATGCGTGAATAGCAACAGATTTCTTCGTCGCAATCGTTGAACTTACTTGGATAATCGTACCCGATTCTCGTAATATTACTTGCGCTCTACATGCAACTGTTGCAAGTGACATTGCTTTAACCGAGATTGGAAATACTATGGATACGTACACAGTAGCAGGATTCGGAATGCATGAAAATAGACCGGTTACGCAACACGCCTGGTAAATTAAGATTCTGACGCGGGCGGATGCCATACCGATGTTTATTGCGAGGCTGTTGAGACAACGTACGCTCCTAATACAAGACCAATACATACGCGTATAAAAATATCGAGCATCATAACGAAACCGAATAGATTTTAATGGATGCCCGAAATACCCAAGTGCTTAATTAGTAAAACAGAATCGGAGATAGATGTACATATTTTCATGAATGATCATCAGATTCAGATGTGGGAACGAAAAAGACTTTGATAATAAGGGAAGACTGGAATCGATTGAAACATCGGTCAATAAAATCAAGGAAAATAAGATAAAAATGGCGAATGGTGAGAGCATAGCGACGATGGGAAGAAAGGACTAGTTTTTGCGTCTAAACCTGTCGCTCAGTACTTACAGTCAGTGAAAGAAGTATTCGTACAGCAATCAATTTAAAATAAATGGTTCCAGTACGAATAATTACACTGACTGTAATATATCAACGATTTTCAACACTTTTCTATTATTCTATTGTTTTTTCCACTCGAAAAGTAAGTTTCCTAAGGTCGATCGCATGCGGGCGCAACTGATCATTTTTAAGCCACTGTGAAAGTATGTAGTTGCAAGCGACCGTGGATCTAGGTAAAACAAAGACAGCCGCAGTAGCATCGGCTACGCAGTAGTATAGGCTACGCAATAGACAGCCGCAGTAGTATAGGCTACGCGGTAGACAGTTGCAGTACCATCGGCTACGCGGTAGACAGCCGCAGTAGTATAGGCTACGCAATAGACAACCGCAGTAGTATAGACTACGCGCTGGACAGCCGCAGTAGTATAGGCTACGCGGTAGATAGAGCCGCAGTAGTATAGACTACGCGCTAGACAGCCGCAGTAGCATCGGCTACGCAGTAGTATAGGTTACGCAGTAGTATAGGCTACGCGACAGAGCCGCAGTAGGATCGGCTACGCAGTAGTATAGACTACGCGCTAGACAGCTGCAGTAGCATCGGCTACGCAGTAGTATAGGCTACGCGCTAGACAGCCGCAGTAGCATCGGCTACGCAGTAGTATAGGCTACGCGCTCGGCGGCCGCGCTCTGATTGGTCGTGGTTTTCTGTTAATATCTTCTTAAAGAAGCCACGGACAACATTTTCGCTAAGGAAAAAATTGTTTCAAATCACCACCCCTTTCAAGATGTTATAACATTTTTGGGACAGCCTGTATTTTCATATGTCTATGATGCAACCACTCTTGTGGAAAACTTCCTCGTACCACGAGTGTATAACCGCGGCCAGCTCTTCCGTACCAAAAGGTTTAGGAACGTGATAGATGTACACGAGTCAGGTCTCGATCCTAATACAGCATACAAGAGGCTTGTAGAGTACGATATGTACGTTGAATAATAAAGGGAATGATAAACTCGTCCGCAGTGGTGGAAAAGGGCTGGCGGCTGGCCCAGATAGGCTAAAAGTCAGTTGTTTTATCCACAACGAAGCAAGAGATGTCGATTTGAATCTGGTGCGACTTATTCTGGTTTCCCTCGACCCCATGCCGGGAGAAGGAAGTTTACAAGTCTGCCTACTAATCGCCTACAATTTTTCTCCAAATGTTTATCTTCGCAATATCTTCACTAAAACCGCGACTTTTCCTTCACTGAGTTTTTGTTTCGCTCTCGTTTGAATCTGTTTCCTGATCGAATCATAAGGATACTACAAAAGATACAATTACGTATGTAGATTTGCCGCGTGAAACCTAATGGTGACTGGGTGTCACCTCTCGAGTGCAAAGAGTTAATAATAAACTGAAACAAAAAAAGTTTTGTTCACCTTTCAAGATATATATGTTGCGAAACACCAATGTATTTATTATTGTACCACTTGTAGTTTTTTTATTTTTAGTTCCTAAAGAAGCCTCTCTTTTTAAATGGTTCACGTACATTAGAATGTAAGAAGAGACACGGAATCGCCCCGAAGCCAAACTGTTAATCATCAAAAGTGCGCTAACTTAATTTGCGAATTCATCGCTTGAACGTTCACCTGATGTCGGGATGTTTGCGGAAAGGGCGTTACGTGTAACTTATAACGTGGTGATAGAGAGCAGTTGCTCGCGTTGGAAGGGAGCGTCCGTTGCCTTCGTACGTGTTCGATCTTTGGCGTACAGCCAGCCTAAAGGCGCGTCCACATACTCGGCTATTTGTCGAATATCATCCACTTGCCAAACATTTGCCGACTCGAGCAAGTTTCGCCTCACATGGACCCACTGGCACTGGCATACGAGAAATGCATTTTCACAGATTCGCCACGCCGCTGCTCCGGCACGAGACCTCAGCGCTGTCTTCGACACGCGATCCAAGGTGTTTCGGATGACTAATGAGCTTACCCAAACGGAAAAGTAAATTGTCGTGATAATTAACCCTTTGCACTCGAAGGCCTTTTTCTCTTAGGCGAGCTAGCAACTCCATACGATTTCGGCTATATTAGGGAATCGTTTTACTGGTACTTTATCTGAAATTCAAGCAAACGTATACAAATAATACAATTTATAAAACATACAACGTATCAAACAAAATCTGTTAAATATTTCACTTTGTATTTGGTTTTTGTATGATATTTTACAAAACAATCCCCCGAGATGGATTCTCAGTTTGTTAGGGCATGTATCGTAATAGTATGAGCTTTCCTCGCCTGAGGTTTATTACGGCCATAGCAAACCTTACAGCCATTACGAACCTTTACCTCTTTCAAAACAATACGAAGCTTTCCATTTAGCCGAGACTCATCGCTGATTTGGTCTCGCCGCTTGATCGCGATGCTGGCGATACGGTTCTCCCGATTCTTCCACAAGCGTTTCTACCGTTTCTACCGTTCAACGCTGACCATTCCCATTCCTCGAACCACATTGTTCCAATAGAGCATTCGAGTCGCGCTTTTCGATCAAATGTTTCGTCTTTTCCTCGTTATTCCAGCCTGTGTCGCCTATCGTTGCTTATTCTTTTGCGTCGTTGAGTATCGTTGCGCAGACTATTGTGTCGTTAAACTCCATTGCATGTAGAGCTTGGTCTTACGTTTTCCGGCTGACTATGCTCGCGATGTTCATTTATTCTTCTGGTAAACGAGAGAGATAATTTTTTGACATGCCAATTGGCAACGTCGCAACGTAAATTTAACCTCTTTTTATTTTTTATTTTCGTAATTGCTCAGCTTACCGAACGTTCTTCCTGTTGTTTTGCATTCTTGACTTTATCTTTGCCTACATTTATTTTAAGGTCTTCTATTGTAACAGAAGAGGACCGTGTTACTTGAGAAACGTCCAAGAATAATGGCTGATAAATAAATAATATACGTCGCGCGCGATAGGAAGTCAGACGGTTACTTTTGCGTCCAATGGAAACGACGGCATCGTGGCGCCGCTGGGGCACGGTTGGCCCCCGCACAAGGGAAAGAGCTCCTCCACCTGCTAAAAAACTACTATCGCCACCAGGATGATCCCCTTCGTACTGTGCAATTTTATTTCACCAAATATTTCTGTGAAACTTGTAGTTTCGAAGACACCTGACGTGCTAATAGGTATTCACCCACCCTGTATAATTAGGAACTTTAGTAAAAGTACAGTCGTACTGATCTCGCATACGTCCATAATAAATCAATAAGTATATCAACACATGCATTCGTAATACTCGCAAAATGATTGCTGCAACAATGCTGACTGTTGTCGCGTTCTGTTTCAGATTTTTATGAATTATTATTTATGAGTTTTTTTTTTCTTTTTTTTTCTTTTTTTTTTTTAATATCGGGTTTTATAACATATCAAACTTTCAGCAACTTCCTAAATTGCAATTCGACTTAAATTGAAAAAATACACCGTGCAAATCTGTACCGTAAGAAGGTGCGTTAAAATTACAAAATTTTTATATCGTTTATCGTAAAACTGGGATCACCTAACAATAATAATTTGCTATAAGACGTTAGATTGTTTAACGGAATCAACGTTTTCTAAAATGTAACTTGTTTTAGCATACTTTTATGCGAATACTGTGTAATTTACCTTGAGTCGGTGTTACTTAAAACGAACAGTTCTCGGTACGCGGATACCTCGCTCTTTCATTGTGTATTTTTCACCAGCGTTCGGTTGCCTCGTCGTGAATGTTTCGGTGTTAAAAATAAAGTTAGAGTCCCGCGGAGACAAAGAAACGCCAATTTGAAATTCCGTAATGGAAATATTATTTATTACGTCAAAGTCGGTCGCGTGAATGCGGACGAACGACGCTGAAGAAGACGAGAAACAGGCAACGTAGCCTTAAACGATAGACAGCGAAGTAAGAGTAGGAGAGACCGAATCTAAGATTATTTCGGAATTGGCCAGAGATAAACCGGGCCAACGTCGACCGAACGAAGCAAACCAAAGTGAACGAAGCCTTGAGGCTTGAGTCATCTCGCTCCGCTTGAATTTGGCTCGTTTGCAATATTACGCACAATAACGTAATAACGAACACGCTTTTACCTTCCTCCGCGTTTTTTTTTTTTTTTTTTTTTTTACGGAAATATTTCAATTTTTTGTTGTTTCTGTCAGTCAGTGCGTCCGTTCTAAGGATGACGAATATTTTTCTGTCTTCTTTAAAACGTCACTTAAGGGATGTTCTGGTCTGACCGGTTCGAACACAGATTTTTTAAAAAAAAATTGTACTTTTAGAATCTTTAGAATATTCAAAAGCGTCCACCCAAAAGGATCTCTCGACATTCGAAAAATTTACGGAATTACGGAAGCATTCGTTAAACAGTACGCGATGCATATTTCTACTTCCATGTCGTCAAACACGTAACATTTAATGTTGTTCTGGATTTGGATCGTTGCGATGTGAACAAATCAAGATACATAAATTTTGCCCAAAAACCAGTAAAACAGCATCGGAAGTAATAGTAGCGGGAAGCTTAACACGACAAACTTTAAACGCGTTCTCTTTAAAATTACTTTTCTCGTCCTTGCATGCGAAGTTTCTCAGTATTTACTCAATCGATTTGCTTAAACCGATGATGTTCCAAAAGAAAATGGTTTTTGTCGAAAAATGACGGTGGACAATTTTCAAAATACTAGAAATTATTATTTTGTTACGACACCAAGAAGTTAAAAAAGAAAAAAAAGAAAAGCGTGTAAATTCGATACACATTCATAGTGGTGCCGTTTCGTCAGTAGTCAGAATATTGTTTATTTAAGAATTCACAAATTTGATTTGTCTGAAATACGTAACCTGGAATCTGTCGCGAAAACAACGCGTCGTTGAGGACAATATCTCGATATTTATTATAAAACAATCGCCAATGAAAGAAATACAAATAAGTAGTTTTAGCTAAGCGTATAGTAGTGCAATTAATGCGAATGTTTTTTTGTATATCAAAAATTAAGGAACTCGCTTTTGCAAGTTCAATGTCAGTGTTAATTTTAATGAGAAATTCGATACAACACGGCTCATATCGACTTCCTTGGTACTTGTAGTATTATTCTGAAACTTTTTTTTTATTTTCATTACTTTCTTCATTTACGATTAACTTTACTTTTACCTAACTCTGATTGAATTATTTTAAATACTTGTATCAAGTATCGTTAAAAAAGGAGACAATGAGAATAACGATAGAAACAAAGTCGAGAAAGTACGTTTCCAAAGAATGTGTAAAGCGACGTCCATTTTTTATTGAAGAAAAATAGAAAGAATTCATTATGCTCTTTGAAAAAGCTGGGTATAATTACGTTAAGATACAATTTTTAATCGGTATGTGTAATTTTACGTAAAGCCTTTGAAAAGTAAATTGAAAGAATGCGCTATGATAGTCTTGCGTTCGAGTAAGGAACTTCTCTTAGTGCTAAATGGAAAACAATTTGGCTGCGCGACAAGAGGAACACCGGTGTTGCATTACGTCTCGTCGAAAGGGAATGAGCGCCAGCCAGTTCCGACCCACTTGTTTCAATACCTCGCAGCCAATGCTCCGTGAAATACTATTTCGAAATAATTTTTTATAAATAAAAGAGCGTCTACCCCACGCGGAAGAAAGAAGTGATATATCATTATGTTCCCTTAATTTTTGTTATTGAAACTTTTCTTTACATATAAAGGGACGTTCAAAGAAGAAAATTTGACAGTGTAGATTTAATTTGAATGTATATATATATATAGATATAGTAGTCTCAAGGAAAGGATTCGGTCAAAACTAGTATATATACTAGTAGTTTAGTATATATACTAAATTGTCTAAGTTATATCGAAAAGTTTTTTTGTTTTTAAAGCCTAGTTGATTTTATTAAGTGTACAAATAAGTTCGGTGCCTTTACATATACTCAGCTGTGATTACATTTCAAATTGAAATTTTTTTTCCCGCCGATCGGTATCTTAAGGTATTAGCCATAGACATATGAAAGTATAGACCGAGCCATGAAGACTGTATAAGGAGATCCAACTCCCTAAGAAAGTTACTAGAAAACTTATCAAAATACCGAACTTGAAGTTATGAATATTTCGTCCACTCGCGGCGCAAGTGCGCACAGACTACGATATATATATATATATATATGTCATATGTGTATGTATTATTATTGTATATATATGATAAAAATTTATTTTCAAACATATAACCATATTTTCAATTGTAGTCCTATTTAAACTTCCCGCTGTAAAAGAGGAACGTAAGATGTCCGACGACCCTTCTACCTTGTTTTCATACCGCGCCACATTCTTTACCGACCATTACCGACCTTTGTTCGTGGCTGAGCGCACCAATTTTTTTATCATCATGAAAACGCACCATTATAACCGTCGCCTCGCTTCGATGGAAAAGCGGCTTTACTGTTAGTTGTCCTAGCCTAATCTTAGATTAAAATTTGTGTACAACTTACAATAATAAAACTGAAAAGGATAAATGTATATCTTTTGTGTTGTTTATAAAATAGCTTTCTTCCCATAAAAAAATATTAAAAGTTACGTAGGATATTATTTTTATCTAATTAAGACAGTCAAAGTTATAGATTCCATGGCATTTCCACTAAACGATCAGGTTTATACAAACTCCTTTACACCTAGAGAGTATCAAGTAAGGATTTTTTTAAATTACCTACAAGAATTTATGTCAATTAATAGTTCTACATTATATTTAACCTCGTTATCGTTACAGGTAGGATTATTTTATACCGCTAGAGAGAAAAACATCATTGTGTGTCTAGGAAAAAGTTACGAACAAACGTTTATTGTTATAAAGTTAATCCAAGAATTTGCTATCAATAATAGGAGGTAACGTATAACTGAAATCAGTTAATTCTGTTAATTTATTATCAATATTTAATGAAGTATACTTAAAATGATCACTTATTAAATTTAGATTATTAAGCAAAGGAGGCAAGCGATCGTTATATATATTGACAGATGTAGAAAAGTATAAAGTAAAAGCAAGTTATATAGAACAATTAACGGATTTAAAAGTTCTATTATGTGATACCTGTTTACCAACAGAATTTGTAGACAAATTTGAAACTTCTCACGTAAGTAGTATTCTTTTAAAATATTTTTTGTTATTTTTCTATTGTCTTTCTATGTTTACAAACATTTTATTTTAGGTATTAGCTACAACTTCTAAAACATGTGCACAATTGTTAGTAGGAAAAAAGATGTTACCACATCAAATAAATCTAGTCATAGTTGACGAGTGCCATAAATCTGTAGATGATAGCAATCTAAGATTTGTTTTGAAATCCTTTTTATCTTGTAACAATGTTCCTAGAATTATTGGGTTGGCTGTTCCATTGTTTAACTTAATGCAAGAACCTGGAAGGTTAGGACTAGAAATAGAAAAAATAGAAGCTATATTTCAATGTGAAGTTGAAACAGCTAGTGATATATTATCTATACTGCGGTAAGTATAATATTTACCAAATGGTATTTCTATTTAATGATAATGATTTTTTTAAATAGCTATAGCCCTAAACCTAAAGAATATGTAGTGGAATATTCTGAAAATAAAAAAGGAGAATTGTATAGTACTATTGAAAATTATACGTTACACGCTATTGAATTTTTACGTGATCATCGTCATGACCCAATCGAAATTTATACCGATGAGTTTTATGAAGACATACAGAAAATACCAGACCCCACAAAAAAACCCTTTGAGATGATGCAAGATTTTTTATATATACTACAAACTCTTGGACCATGGTGTGCAGATCGTGCTGCACTTGCTCTTCTAATTTTAACTGAAAAATTGAAAATAAAAACACCTTATGAAAGACATTATCTATTATTGAACATGGTTGCATCTGTTTTTACGAAGATACGAGCTTTGTGCGATAATACATTTGAAGCTTTACCTGAAAAAGAGAGAATATACAAATATACTACGCCAAGGGTTCACAGACTATTACAGGTTTTAAAAACGTATACACCATATTATACTAAAAATGTTGACATTCCTCGTAAAAAAATGAATCGTGAAAATAATGTTAAAAATTTATCTGTAAATAATAAAGAAAATTCTTTGAGACATAATTTTGTGCAAACTAGAAGAACAGAGTATAATCAGAGAGGTAATGAAGAAAATTATAGGAGATTACCCAAATCTCAATCTCACATGCGCGAAGCTGCAGACCCTGATCTACTTTGTGGAGTGATCTTTGTGGATAAAGCATTTGTTGCAAAAGTTTTGTTTTATTTATTAAATGAAGTATCTACATATGACGAAGAGTTACATTTCTTGTCACCTCTGTATGCAATTGAAAACGATACAGATGATGGTTATTCTAGAACTTTAGAAATGGAGCATAGAAAACAAGAAGAAGTTTTGAAGAGATTTAGGATACACGAATGCAATTTATTAATTTCAACTTCAATTTTGGAAGAAGGTATGCAATTACTTATATTGATAGTAAATAATTCGTTTTCATTTATTGTTTTTTTTATATAATATCTGATAATCTTTTATTTCTATTAGGCATTGATATTCCAAAATGCAATTTTGTAATGAGGTATGATTTTCCAAAAACGTATCAATCTTATGTTCAGTGTAAGAGTCGAGCAAGAGCTATGGATGCGTTACATGTACTATTAGTGCCACAGACACAATCAAAGGAATATGTGTGGCAATTAGCACAGTATCATTACATAGAAAAGGTATCGAACAATTATATATGATTCTTTCTTAATTATTTAATTATTTATTATCATAAAATTTGATTATACATATGAAGTGGATCTGATGTTTGATTAATGATTGTACCGTCTATTGGATTTAATTTATTCATGACCTTCAGTGTGTACCAGTTTTAATATCAACCATTTAATGTGGTTCATTACCTGTGTCCGTCCCAGTCGAAAGTTTTAATGGAAGAGCATCAATCTATTTTGTAGACTTTATTAGTAAAGTGTTCTAATAACGAACCAACTGAAGAAGAAGAAAACGAAGCAGATATGTACGCTGCTATGATACCACATTACAAACCACTTGACGGAGATGATGCACCTTCTGTAACTTTCAATT